AAATCTACGCCTTTTAGTCTCAAGTTGTGGTCTTTCTTTAATGTATTGCGTTACGACGTTTCGAGAAAAATCTGTACGTGATGGAGAAAAATGGATATCATTTTCGGATTCAGCGTACAGGAATTACTGTAAAACATGTACAAATTTCAAGACAATATAACCACCGCAGGCCTTTTGTAATAGTTTCCTAAATAACAATTAAATATCACACATATCATACGATTGCTAACACTAATAGACATTGGTAGTTATTACACTATGTCTACAAGTATCTTGCAAATTAATGTTGATTTGATTATTTTGGACTAATTGAATATTTAAACTGTATTATAGTTATCAGGTGTTAAACACAGAAACAAGTTTAAACAAGTTATGGCTTGAAGTCGAAACTGTTGGAATCTGATTTTTTTATTTTTTTGTCAGAGAGTCTACAGTACACAGAGAACGGTGTACCTCCTAAAGAAGTCGACATGTCAAATGTTGGTAAGAAAAGTGAGTATTTGTTTATAAAATACAGTGTAGACTTACTAAAAGGAAACGTTTAGTGACCTCATGGTGCAGATGTACAAATATATGTTTTCTTAAACATCACTTATAAAACTTGTAAGTAGAGATGACACATCTCTATTGTGAAGTTTAAGGCAGTAGAGTACATATATATCTGTAGTGTGAAACTTAGAGAAGTGAAGAACTTTACACATCTCTATTGTGAAATTTAAGGAAGTAGAGTACATATATATCTGTAGTGTGGAACTTATGGAAGTGAATTACTTTACAAAAGTCATTCACTTCCCTAAGTTCAACACAACAGATATATATGTACTCTACTTCCTTAAACTTCACAATAGAGATGTGTAAAGTAATTCACTTCCCTAAGTTTCACACTACAGATATATATGTACTCTACTTCCTTAAACTTCACAATAGAGATGTGTAAAGTAATTCACTTCCCTAAGTTTCACACAACAGATATATATGTATTCTACTTCCTTAAACTTCACAAAAGAGATGTGTAAAGTTCTTCATTTCCCTAAGTTTCACACTACAGATATGTATGTACCCTACTTCCTTAAACTTTACAAAAGAGATGCGTAAAGTTCTTCACTTCCCTAAGTTTCACACTACAGATATATATGTACTCTACTTCCTTAAACTTCACAATAGAGTGAAATTATTTAATACGTATACTAATGTGTTTCAAGCTTTCAAAATCGTTCGTATTGTAAAGACCGTCACTGTTCTTATATGAGAGGTGGGTTCTATAATTTGGTCTCCTTTTCCCTCCTAGACTCGAGTAAAAATGGTCGTAGTCGAGGTCGACGTCAGACCAACCCATCCCCTGACCCTGACAATAACTTGGAACGCGTGTTTGTATGGGATCTGGACGAAACCATCATCGTGTTCCATTCTCTCTTAACAGGATCTTTTGCTGCTCGTTATGGAAAGGTAAGAATACACTAACTACCCTACTTTCTCTGAGAAGGTAAGAACAACTTGGTAATCGTACTTATCTGGGCTTTATAGCGTCTGATGAGAAGGTAAGATTACATATGTAACCCCATTTCTATGACCCTTACAACCTTTTATGGTAAGATAATAAACCCAGTAATTATACTTTTTTTTAATCTAAACGTTACAGCTTGTTATTGGAAATTAAGAATAACTCATGTAATTCCGTTTATTACAACATTACAGCTTCTTACTAGAAGTTAAGAATAACTCCTGTAATTCCATTCATTACAACATTACAGCTTTGTTAGTGAAGTTAAAAATAACTCCTGTAATTCCGTTTATTACAACATTACCGCTTCTTACTAGAAGTTAAGAATAACTCCCGTAATTCTGTTTAGAGCTTCTTACTAGAAGTTAAGAATAACTCCTGTAATTCTGTTTATTACAACATTACAGCTTCTTACGAGAAGTTAAGAATAACTCACGTAATTCCGTTTATTTCAACATTACAGCTTGTTACTAGAAGTTAAGAATAACTCACGTAATTCCGTTTATTACAACATTACAGCTTCTTACGAGAAGTTAAGAATAACTCCTGTAATTCTGTTTATTACAACATTACAGCTTCTTACGAGAAGTTAAGAATAACTCACGTAATTCCGTTTATTACAACATAATAGCTTCTTACTAGAAGTTAAGAATAACTCCCGTAATTCCGTTCATTACAACATAACAGCTTCTTACTAGAAGTTAAGAATAACTCACGTAATTCCGTTTATTACAACATAACAGCTTCTTACTAGAAGTTAAGAATAACTCCTGTAATTCCGTTTATTACAACATTACAGCTTCTTACGAGAAGTTAAGAATAACTCCCGTAATTCTGTTTATCACAACATTACAGTTTATTATGAGAAGGTAAGAAATTAGACAACTCCAGTAATTCTAGGTATGTAAACATGAGCGAACTATCAATACACCAGTGCCAGAAAGCGTCAATTAATGGTAGACATGTGACACGAACAAAAAGCGTCAGTTAATAGTAGACAAGTGCCACAAACAGAAAGTGTAATTTAACAGTATACAAGTGACAAACAACGTTAGTTAATAGTAGCCAACTAACAAACAGAATTGTACTAATATGTACTAATAAGAGTAGTGGGACTGACGATTGTCAAAAATATTGTACCAAAATTGCAACGAACGATAACATTCTGAAAAGTGCAACTGTCCCTGATCTTGTTGAAATGGAAATTACAGACAGCGTGACTTCCACGTGATCATGTTGAAACGAAAATTAGTTACTGAAACACCCTGTCCTCAGGGCATGTAGGACAGAACTTCGCCTCAGCTTACATAGGAAAGCTCGAGTTTCTTGTAACACGGGAAAACGTGCCGTATCATGTTCCTTTTACAATTTCGCCCTGAGCAGAACAACACAGGAGTTCCCACGTCACGTGGGAAATCAATTGATTATAAGAAATAAGCTAGTAGAAAGTTAACATTGATTCTTTGTGATGTATACAGCGAAGCCAAATATACTGAACATATTAACAAGCAGTGAACCAAACCAGAAAAATATACAATTAAATAAAGAAGCAATTTAAACAACTTAATAACAAACCAAACCAGGAACATACATCACTCAACAATAAACCAAGCACTAAATGTTTATAGATTAACAATAAACCAAACCAGGAACATACATCACTCAACAATAAACCAAGCACTAAATGTTTATAGATTAACAATGAACCAAACCACGAACATGCATCAATCAACAATAAACCAAGCACGAAATGTTTATACATTAACAATAAACCAAACCTGGAACATACATCACTCAACAATAAACCAAGCAGTAAATGTTTATACATTAACAATGAACCAAACCAGGAACATACATCACTCAACAATAAACCAAGCACGAAATGTTTATACATTAACAATGAACCAAACAAGGAACATATATCACTCAACAATAAACCAAGCACTAAATATTTATAGATTAACAATGAACCAAATCGGAACATGCATCACTCAACAATAAACCAAGCACGAAATGTTTATACATTAACAATGAACCAAACCAGGAACATACATCACTCAACAATAAACCAAACCAGGAACATACATCACTCAACAATAAACCAAGCACGAAATGTTTATACATTAACAATAAACCAAACCAGGAACATGCATCACTCAACAATAAACCAAACCAGGAACATACATCACTCAACAATAAACCAAGCACGAAATGTTTATACATTAACAATGAACCAAACCAGGAACATGCATCACTCAACAATAAACCAAACCAGGAACATACATCACT